TGTAAGTTAGATCAACCTTTACTTTGAAAGCTATGAATTGAAGGAGAACTGAAAGAACAGAATTGGAGAGAATTTCAAAAGGAATAATGGAGAAAGTCAGAATTTCAATTTCATCCTTAATTGGGACAACAAAGCCTAATATCAAGACTTAGTAAATGTTATGCAGAGATTGATATGATGACTTCTTGGCTTCCTAGCATAATTCTTCTTTCTCTTAGTCTACATAGGCATTACATTAGGCACTCACATTCTACACATGTTCTAATAGAAAGACTTTAAACATCAAAGCTTCAAAGGGGCCAAGGAAACTAGACTGGTCTCAGTTGAAAGAAAGAAGGGGATCAGAGGACCATGATTGGTATCTTGACGCTTAAAATTTTAGTTGGCACATGGCAAATTTTCATATCAAATAATGCTAGCAAAGTCAAAAAGACATTTCTTCCTGTTAAATGCCTTACTGGCATCTTTTGTGGTCAATATTTCTAAATTGATTTTTCCTTCTTATCAACATCTTTTACTACTTAAAATTTATAAAAAAACTTAAGAATTAATAGTTAAATTTTTTATTTACACTTTAAATTTATAATCAAAATTTTTATTTATACCATGATTTTATTCATAATTTCAGGTTTTTTAAGGATTTTGAATTATCAAAATATTAAACAGGACAAAAATTAACTTAAAATGTTGATTACAAAAAGAAAAAATAGGTGGTTCGGTCTATGTCTTCCACCCCTTTCATCTTTCCTTATTACAAATTTTCATTTTAAATTGCAGCTTCTGTTGACAAACTACAATTTCCGACCAACGAATCGAGAGTGCTTTACTCATATCTGATCTTATTCAATCCCAAAAATCATTTCAAACAAGCGAGAAATGCCAACCAATCTAAGAACTTGGAATTCAGCTAAATGGAATTTGGTCAGGGTTATGCAGTAGCATAAGTAGACAGAAAATCCCAGAACAATCATAGGGTATACTAGATTTGTACAAATAGCCACAGGTTCATCTGAAGAAATTTTTTGCAGGAAACATGTACATTATGGTAGGATGCCAAAGAATATTATAAGTATCAAATATGTAACCTCTCTGGAGTTGACTAATAGTATGTTACAATTCAAGGTCTATGTTCTAGCAATAAGGATACCTTGTCTACGAATCAATGGCATTCTGGTTATCTCCAGTTGCCTTGCCAGCTGCTTGGACACACGTGTGAAGCTCCTTATAAACTTGAGTTGAGCTGGAGGCAAGTTCCTCCATGGCTTTAAAAGTATGTTCTAGACCCAATTTAAGGCTGGTAGCATTTGTATTTTCAATCTCATGAATGGTCTCTCTAGGTAATAGGGGCTCACTTTCTTCCCTGGGGAGTAGAGTCATTCTTTTCACTTGAGCTTGCATTATCTTTTGCATCTGTTGCTCCTTCCTCTCCAAGATCTTCATTCTTCTCTCTGTATCCTTGTCAGCAATCAACCTTTGCTGCAGTTCTGCATTATGTTGTTCCAGCAAACAATTTATGGCCGTGAAAAGTTCATGCATGGCTTTAACCACTTTCTTCTCTTGCCGTATATTCATGGCTTGAGACCATTGGTAAATAATTAGAGCCAAAGGGGGTGCTCCATATCTCTCAGGAGCAGGTTGCATACCATCATCTGTTTCCTTTGGCTCATACTGAAGACATCTCAATAACCATTCACTCAAAGCTTTGACATAGCCTTTTTGTGCTTCAAACCAATTGCAGAAGCACAGACACCATTTTTGCAGCTCAAGTTTCAGTTGCATTGCCACTTCATGGTGGTCATCATCAAGCTTCCCTTTCAGTGATATAACATTCAAACATTTGGCTTCTATAACTGTTTGGAACTGGCACCCATGACATTCTAGCATTTCTTTCCACATTTCAAGCAATCTAAAAAAATAAAACTGAGTTAGCCACCAGCACACCACAAAGAAAGTGTAAAAAAGAAACAACATCTATTGGAAAGTTTCAACAAACTTAACAAAATACTACAATTAGGAAACTTGAGAAACAGAGGAGGGGATGGGGAAAAGCAAGTTAGTGGGTTGCAGAACATGCCATATTAAGGATTTATTTCTTTACTCCAACGTTATTCCCCTCATTTTCTTTTTTTTTTTTTTTTTTTTGGGGGGGGGGGGGTGTTTAAAAGGTGAATTTATTGAATTCCCCTCACATTTGATACATTAATTCCTGAACTTCAACATTATAACAGCGATTGTTATTTGTCTATCAAGATGTTTAGGTTAGCTCCTACAATTAATCATAACAATTATCCATGTCAATCTTATTATGTTAATCCTTTACAATTTAGCATCCTTTACTCTATTCAAATAATATGGGGCAATGTTCCTTGACTCTGGTGAGTGAAAATTAGACACCTCTCAAATTTATAATTTAATCTAATTAATAATCAAGACTCCGTACCTGCTGCCCATGTCAACAAATTGCACAACAAGATATTTCAAGTTGCATAACACAGGACCAAAAATGGAAAATACATAGTATTCCATGATTTAACATACCTTTGAATCAGTTCACAAATATGTGGCCACAACTCCTCATCCATCAACTTATTTATTGTGATTGATATCCGATCAATGACTTGAACTGCAACTGTCATTTTAGTAGATAAAGTACGGATTAAAGTTCTGATGGAGTCCACTTTACGAGCATCAGTGCCCCTTTCATCCAAACTTCTTACCTGCCTAGACTTCCTTTCATGAATTATACGCAACTTTTCCTCATCCTGTACAAAATAAATAACACCATTTCTGATCTAAGTAGCAACACTACAACTAAGGATATCAGCAATCAACAATAGATTAAGCCATAAAAATGAGGATAGTAGAACCAAAGTGTAATATAACAGATTCAATCCGCATGCTGGAAATAAAATTGCCATAAGGTACTGCAATATTAAAAAAGAAAAAGGGGAAAAAAAAAAGGGAAAAGAAAATACGTAAAAGGACTGGCAGCTAATGCCATAATGCCATAATGTTCCTGGAAACATTATGGTGCTTGTAAAATGTAAATCACTGTTGAGTTACATGATTAAATTACAAGTTCAGATAGGCACAATCCTTGGTGGATGAATGGATGAAATTAACTGAATTCTCTTTGTTCCAGGACCTCGGGGCTTGCATGGCAAAATAAAAATGTGTGTGATGTTTGTTTGTAAATGTCTCAAAGTTTCTGAAACCAGATTCACTTGATTCAAAGACTTAGCTGTAAATGTGAGCCGTAAAACAATCATGGAATTAAGTTCAGAAAACATAAGTGATTGTCCATCAATAAATTGGAATGCAAACTCAAAAAACTCATCAGTTGAATGATATTCAAAATCAAACAGATTCAGCCCCACTACAAATTATCATGCATCGAAAATCCTGAACTCATAACAGTCTGCAATCTAATGTTTCATTAAAAATTGTGTGTAAGGTAACTACAGGATGAAAAAAGCAGCATAATTCATTGATGATGCAGCAAAAGGGTTAGGTTTTGACCAATATATAAAACAACAAGAAAACAAACTCAATTAAATAATCCAAGCACCCATTGACACATTCTCTTTCTCTTTCTATCCACTGAAAAAGAATCAATCTTAGGAAAAAGAAAACAGTAAAGCAATATCTAAAGTAACATACCTTGACTTCATTGTATAGTTTCTTCTCCCACATACACAGCTTCTTAAGAGTAGAAGATAAATTCTCTGAAGTCACAGTCCAATGTTCCTCAGCAGTACCATTCTTTTGATCAGCAGATGACAAAGACCCCTTTACTGGTAAATTTAAAGCCATCATGTTCAGCGTCTTTGAAGAACCTGCATCACATGAATCAGCTATACTATTTAAAGTTTTATTCCACGAATTAGAATCAGGGAAAAAACTTTAATCAAGAAAATTTTTGCAGTGTACCTTGATAAACAGATTTCTTGTCATGATAACGAAATCTTCCAGTGTCAAGCATCTTCAAAACTTCATTGCCTGAGTCTGAAGCTTTCTGAAACAGAACTTGCAATTCTATCATAACCTCATAGACGGTTTGTTCTCCTCTCTGATTTTTTGATTCATCCGACTCACTCTCCTCTTTAATCCTCTCCTTCTTCTTCTTCTCTACTGGCGCAGTTTTCTGACTTGGAATTTCTTTTGCATCCACTCCACTAGCAACATTTTTGCCAAAATCTTTATCTGCTGGAATTTCCTTCACGAATTCACCATTGAGATTGCTATCTCCTTTGTCCTCCACTGCTTCATTAGCAGAATAAGGCAATTCGTATTTCTCATAAGACTCATCAAAGAAGTTCAAGTAATCCCAAGCTGTGCTCCTCGAAGGGGGAGGAGGAGGCGTTTTCGAACCGGAACCGTGGAATTCATTGTTGCGTGAGAAATAATCAAACGCTTGGTCTGCATTGGTACCGTAATTATGATTCCGCGAAGAATTCAAAGTTAGAGTCGAATGATCAAGATAATTGGACTGGATATAGTTGGAAGATTCAAAACCTCCATCTCCATCTTCCTCTTCAGAACTGAAATCGAATCGAATGTGCGAGTCAGAATTCGAACTCGAACGCGAAGGATCAGCTGAAAACTCCTGAGAATCTGGCTTCAACGATTTCTCAGTTGTACGGGAAGAATCACCGTCCAACGAAGAATCGACAATCTGCTCAAAGAACAGACAGAGAGCCGGACCTAGACTCTCCAGCGACTTCATGTAGGCTACGTGCGCGTCGGCAAGTGCGTAGCTCTGCCGGAGCGCCTCATCGAGGAAGTTGCAGCGGTCACGGCAGAGAGCCACCGCCGGCAACTCTTGAAGCTTCGAGGTGGCGCAGCCCATAGAGAATGCTGTGCTAATAATGCTTGGATTATCGGATTCTCACTGCGGAATTATTTGGAAATTGAAATCAGAGAGTCTAAAACCAGAGTGGTGTTCTGAGCAACGCTTTCTCAAAGCCTCAAACTCCACGGGATTTATTTATTTATTTATTTATTTTTAAATAAAAAGAGATTAACGGAGGCCGTTATTGATGTCCGCGTAAAAATGGTATTATTACGCAATTAAGCTGCATCGTGTACCTGGAATCTAGAGAGTAGGGACTACTGGACTAGAGGGACGGATTACGATTCTTCATGGCGAAAGGGTGGTGGCGCGGGATAGCCTCAACGTCTCTTTGATATTTTTCGGGTATTTTTCTTTGAAAATTTTCTAACTTAGTGTGTTAAAATATTATGGGCACAGATTAATACAGTAATATATTTATTATATATTTTTATTAGAAAAAAATATATATAAATTTTTTAGTCTAAAAAAAATTAGAATTTTAGCATTTAAATATGTTATTTTATTTAATTAAAATGTAATTTAAAATTTAAAAATTTATTTTATGAAATATTAATATTTAAATTTAAAAATTGATTTAATTTCTAAATTTTTAATTAATATTTCAGTTTCTAAATATAAATTATGATTTTAATTTTTTTTAAGAGTTAGAATTAATACACACTAATTTTTATCTTTATTATTAATTTATATAAAAATATAAAAATAAATTTAAATTTTATTAATTATTTAATTATATTATTTTAAATGATATTTGTATTGAAAATAGAGTTTAATTTCATAATATTTTATGTAAATTAAAAGTGAAAAATGTGTAATGAGTGTAGGGCCTTTTCTTTTTGCAGTGGTAGTACTGAAATTTCGTGATTTGCATTTGTGACCCTTTTATTTCTAAGTTTTTGCATTTTTGCCATCGATCCCAACCATAATCATTCACATGGAATTGATTGATATTTACTTCTAAATTCTAATGAGTCATGGTCATTTTGACACTAAGAAAAAGGATAATTCCATTTTTCAAATCATTCAATAATGCCAACCATGCATATAATTCTTGTTTTATTGTGGGAGTTGGATATATGTTAACAACATTTGATTGATTGAAAACATAAATGAATCTGTTTAACTTTAACTTTGTTGGGAAATTTTGTTTATTAATCGTTAATATTTTTCAATACACTTGATAATGAATTTTATAAGAGATAACTCTTTATTTTTCTCATATATCTTTTTTTAATTCAAGATTCAAATCTAAAATTTTCAAGTAAAAATCTCATATCTTGACCCAATTGAGCTATCCCTAAGAGCAATTCAAAGTAAAAAGGTGTGGACTGTGGAAACAATAAAGGGAAGCTAGCTATTTTCTGAGAGAGAAGATAATGGGAGGAGTGAGATTTTTTTGAATTGAATCTGGTAGGGTATAGATAAAAAGGTAAGCTATGGGTTGTGGTGGAATTCCAACTCAGAAAAATATGAAAACCCTTGTCTTATTGTGTTGTCTCTTTTATGGTTGTCTTTTGGTCAAGGTCCTCATTTTAATCTTGCATGCCTTTACATACCCAAATTCCCAGGAAAAATGCAAAAGAAAAGGTTACATCTTTTGTTAGTGCCCCATAAAATATGGGCAGTACGTCTCCACCATTAAGAATCCTAGGGTTGGTGGTTACCCTCCACTTATAAGGTCCATCTCCCTCTCCAAAAGATACCTCACTTTCACTTCCCTAATTAATTGTGAGGTGTTTTGGTATAGAGGTTTAAAGTTAGTGATTATTAATTTTTATTAATTGGATGAATATGAATATTTAAATTGTACATTAAACAATAATAATTATCGTCAATTAACTAAATATCACCTATCTGTTATATACTCACTGCATTTGAAATGCTAATTATCCAAACCCCCTAATTAGGATAGTGCAAGGTATATGCAGTACATTTTTCCTTTCTAACTTTGTGATCCTACCCCAAGTCTCAATGGTTCTGCCCAAGGTAAAAATGCTATACCAGTACATTTTTCCATTTCTAACTTTATGATCCTACCCTGGTTCTGTCAAGGTACAAATGCTACAAGCAGTACATTTTTTCTAACTTTATGATCTTACCCTAAGTCTCAATGGCTCCGCCCTTGATACAAATGCGGTATCTGCAACTATTTCTTTCTAACATTTGACTTGGTGCATGTCACCCATGTCAAAATTAAGAGATTCATAAATAAATATTTTTTTATTATTTTAAAACAATATAAATAATGTAAGGAGTAAACACTTACTTTATCAATAAACACAGAATAAACATATATTCTTATCAATTACATCAATTCTTTGAAGATCAACAAAGGTTGTCTCTATATATATATATATATTTTATGTGTGTGTGTGTTTTTAATTTGAATAAAAGTTCTAAAATAAAGAAGAACCTAAAAAAAAAAATCAAGTACAATAATGATGATCATGAGGCTTGTACATGAATAATTGAGCAAGGGTTACATACTTTGGATCACATAAAAAAAGTTTCCATATATGCCAATTAAAAAGTTGTCTCATTCTTTTTTGTTTTTGAAAAATAAGAAAGTTGTCTTATTCGGTAAGCAATAATTTTGAACATTTTGATACTGTTATTGATTATCGTAACGGATAGGAATGAATGATTATGCTCTTTACTCCAAAACTCAAAAAGACTACAAAATGTCATGCCTCAACTGATATTTAAATGGAAAATTAGGTCATCAAGGATTTGATTTAAGATTCCCGAACAAGAAATAAGGGGAAAGAAAAAAGGAATTCTACCGTATCCTAAAAATATCTTTGAGATGGTATTTTAAGTTCAAGGTAGTTAAGTGGTATATATTTTAATGTCTAATAAAAGATGATATCTTATAAACTATTGCATTTTATATTAAGGCATCATGTTAAGATGTCGAAATATTTTTTGAGTTATGATGACACATTAACTTGACATAAAGGTTTTTAAGATGTCATTTTTCTATTAATTGATGATATCACATCAAAATATCCTTGTGACAAAACAGAATTTTTCAAAAGAAAGGAATATATTGGATGGCACTTGATGTTGCAAGATTTTTTTGCAGAAAAATGTAAATGGGATCTTCACCAATTCATGTTTAGTGGCCCTGCATACTGTTTCTTTTTGGCCATTTGGCTTTATGGTGCAAAAGAGTCAAAAGCATTTCAATTATTTTTACTTTTGTTTCGACTAGATTTCTTGTTTTAAACCAGTTTAAAGAAAAAATTGCTGTCCTCAGACTGAAACTTTTCAAAAAGGAAGATGACAGGAGCACAAATATATGGAGGCCCACCTAAAAGCTGAATGGACAACAAGATGGCCCAAAATTTTGGGTGTATTAATTGGGCTATGAAACAGGATGGTTCCCACCTAAAGCTAAAAGCACCAACTGGACTTTATTTTAAAATATATATATATATACACTTATATTTATATAAAAAAAATCAAATAATAATAATAATAATAAACCCGTTATTTAATTACATGGGTTTTTAAATGGGTAGTGCTTTACAATTATAAGTCTTTAAAATTATAAAAAAAATTTGAGAAATGGGTAGGGTTTATGCCAAACCCTTCCTTAATATAGGTCGACCACTAGGTTTAAGATTACAAGTTGGTTCCTTTCTCTTTGCTCGCACATTACGTTGCTTTAGACAAGATAACATAGGAGCAATTAAATTAAAACCAACAATTCCAAATCCCTTTTATTGTTAGGGTTGAAAGCTCATAATTCTATTACTAATAATTTCAGTCAAACTTTTACATCCTTGTCATTATGGGATGAACCTAATGCATGTCAAGGGACCGCCTATCTTTGGCAACATTAATTCTTCAAATTTATGAGCTAAAATCAGCTGTCAATGCCAGTGAAGAATCCAAATTTCTAAGGCACAAGTTGGAGAGAATTAAAGTCAATTCATACAACAAGGTCAATTATATGAGGAGCATAATTTGTTTCCTCCTAATTCCTTTACAGGAGATTGCAGCATATACAAAGATCATGATCAGGCAAGAGTCATGATAAAGAAATGATTGATTTAATCATACGGCTACAAAAAGCCAAACCCCATTTTATTTTCTAATTTCCTTATAAGCATTAATTTAATGAAATTAATCACCTGATATAATTCAACCATATACATTGGACAGGCCATGTGCTGCTTTCTTCAATTGGGATTTGAGTTTGACCCGTCGCCAACGCGCATGCCTTGTATATTTCCCCCTTTCCTTGTGTGTTTGGTCGCTTTATTTCTATCCCCTTTTAAATAATTAAAATTTTAAAGTTTTAGTGAGTTAAAAATTTTGAATTCAAATTTTAAAATGAGTTAAAAGAAAAAAAAAATAAAACACTATCTCATTTTATATAATTTATTAATTTTTTTAACAAGATTACAATTTTGAGAGTGAGGGGAATCTAACCCCAACCCGAAAACTGGGGAATGTACTTTACAAGTCGGCTTATGACCGTTAGGCCGTGAAACCCAGGTGCTATATAATTTATTATATGATATACTAAAAAATAAATAACTTTACCTAATTTATGTTAAGTTAAAATTTTTAAGCCCTTTTGGTCAATAATCATTGTTCTGAAACTTTTTCGTGCTAATCTTTTTCCTGTGTATGTAAATTAATTCATCTAGCTTAAACCACTCCACCATGATGCATCATTACATGTGATGAGCCAATTTAAGAATCCAAAAGAATCAATGACATATGTGGCTCTGCTAATTTTCATTTCAAAATTATTTAGAGGTCACATTAGTTCATTTCACATTTATTTGAAATCATTTCTTTACATACTCTACCAAGCACTTCTATGAATTCATAATTCAATTGGATCTGTATAGCCTTCATTACATATAACTAGTTAACTATTAACATGCATAGCCAAGGGACAACTCCCAATTATGATCAACCTGATTTGGACTCAGGTTGAGGTGTGAGGAACCAGGCCTAAGACTGATAAAAAATCTTATGGAAAACCCGGCTTTGACTGGCTTATTTTTTATATTATATTGCACTTTATTAGTTGACCAGAGGTTGTCTACCCAACTAAAAAAGTGCAATAATGAGATGAAAAAAGATAAACCAATCTAGTTAGAACCGAACCAAAATTAAAATCAAACTGAAATTAAGAACCGGATTGACTCACATATACAGTGAGTCGGTTGTGGTCCTTGATTCTAGAAAATCAGGCTTGGACAACTTATTTTAGGCCAGCCCAACTCAATTTTTTTTTATTTGTATAAGGATTTATGAGTTATATAATAAAAAATAATATTTTAATTTTCAAACCCTTTTCAACTTAAAATTTAAACTTAATATCTCTAAAAATTTAAGTTTTTAACCATTATAACATCAAACTTAACCACACTTGACTCTTGTGGCACAATAATTAGTGTCATTGAAAAAATGCATATCTCCCTCCCTGAACGGGTTTCGAACCCGTGCCATGACAAAAAAGTTCAAAAAAAAAAAAAAAACATCAAACTTAACCAACCTAATTGGGTAATTGACTCCTTAGTCAAGGGCCAAACACTTTTTTTTTTTTTGAATGTTGGGGGTGGGACCTTCAAGTTTTAGTATGAAAAGTTTTTTACAAAAATGAGATAGCCACTGGGTTGGAAAGACGTTCTCCGCCAAACAATTTCTTAAACTTTTCATGTTAGCGAAAAAAATAAAAAGAAATAATCACAGATGCAAACATTAATTATTACAACAAATATTCTTTGTTCTTACAATCAATTTACAGAAAAATGAGGACTGTACACCTAGATTTTGTTTTCTTAGTTTTCATTTCTTTCTGATGGAGGGAAAACAATGGATGTAAGAGAATTCAAAAAGAAGGAAAAATATGCAATTCACATCTCTTCCTAATTTGTGAGAGTATTGAGCAGCGAAACCCTAGTGTTAATCAGGCTCCTGAAAACTTTCCCGCTTTCACTCTCAACACTGCTAATGCACCTCTCCAAATCCTGCATTTTTGTCAAGACCATCCTCACTTCTTCGTCTCCCTTTTTCCTTAAACCCCACAGCCTCTCTTCTTCAATTTGCTCAAATTCTTCTATTCCCATCTCCTCGATCTTAACTTTCTTCGCTTTTTTTGTCAATATCAAACAGGATGATCTTTTGGAAGCAATCGCAAATGAAATTCCATTGAAAAGAGCAACTGATACCGAGGCGGTTGATTCGATCACGTCGCCTATGACTCCCACCAGCTCGGATTCCGAAATTGACGTCGGAGCTGGTCCTGGAATGGTGGATCGCGCCAGTGATTTGATTGAGGAGACGAGTTTAGCCATTTCTTTGGCTATCCGTTTTCGAGATTTCAAATATAAAGTGATTCTAGATTCGTCTTTTCTCCTCACCGCTACCTGCGCCGCCTGTTGCGCTTCTTTGAGAGCGAGAACCGATGACTGGAAGATTCCGTAAACATCGACGAACTGTAGGAAATCTTCGAGAACCTTCTCCACAAATTCGCGCTTACTGCTTAACAATTCATGCGTCTGAGGGAGCTGGAGAAGATCGCAAAGAGAATCGTGGATGTCCTTGAGGCGGTTGAGGCCGTCGGAGAGCCAATCGGCCGTTCGGTTCTCGTGATTTAACGACCACGTTTTGAGCTCGGAAACCTCATCTCTAATTTGAGAAATCAAGGGATGGGATCGGCATGGAAGGGAGATGGATCTAATGTGGTGAGAAATCGGAGGTTTGGATGGTTTGTTTGGGAAAGAGAGTGAACGCCGGAAAACACGGCCGACCATGATTTGTGTTTCTCCGGTGGTTTTAGGTCGGAAAACGCAGAGATTTTTGTTGCTTGGGGGAAAATTTTGAGAGGAGAGAATATAAAGGGCGAAGGCGCACGGGGTAACTGGATCCGTGTATAATATTAATTAGGAGTTAGGAGGCTAACTAAATTAAATAATTATAACCAATATCGTCGGTCCATGGCTATGAGTTCCTTTTCATGTGGAAAAGGGACACCACTTGCTTCGTACACTCTGGCGTCTCTGGCATACACATCTAGTTTTGGCAGCCCTCGCCGTTTTTTCTGCTCAAATACCGTTATTAATTAAAAAGAGTAGGCTGGATCCAGTTTCAGGAGGACGAGGATCATCTCTTGGTACCAACATTTTAATATT